GGCTTTGGGGAATAGCAAACTGAATATAAGCCAACCACGTACTATCATCGTAAATAAAGCAAACTGCCTACTGCGCTGGATGCATCGATCATACTGGCCAATGCAGCTGCAAGGTAGGACATCATGAAGAGCATGACCAGCAGAGGAAAGTCTTTATCCCCCTCTACTCAGTGCTGGTAAAACTGCCCTTGGAAATGATGTGCAGTTTTAAGACCTGATTCAAGAGTGTTGAGAAACTGGAGAGGATCCAGAGAAGGGCTACAAAGAGACTTAGAGCAGATGATCTGTAAGGATATACTGAGAGCTGGACTCTTTTAGTCTGCAAAAATAGAGGCTAAGAGAAAATGCAATTGCAGCCTACAGCCACTTCAAAGAGTAGTTGATGGAGTTGTTTCTGATAGTAGCGAAAGATGTGACAAGGGACAACAGCTGCGCGTGGCAACTTGGGAATTTTGGATTGTTGGATTGATGTTAGGAAAAAAAAATCGCTAGGAGGATTATGCAGCACTGGATCAGATTATCCAGAAAGGTTGTGAAATCCTTATTCTTAGAGGTTTTCAAGAATTGGCTAGAAAGAGGTGTGAGTAACCTGATCTAGTATTGGTGATAGTCCTGCTTCAAGGAGGAGGTTTTTAAAAGTGACCTCTAGAGATTCCTTCTGTGATTTTGATTCATTCCTTTTCAGGGACTGTATTGACACAAAGAGCTAGTAAAATGGAAGGATGAATTTAAATGATTGAATTGCCAGGTAATTCTTTTTTTAAATGGGCACCAGTTACTTCACTCTGAGTTTAAATGATAGACTCAATGGAGGAACTGTAGAACAAATTAGATTGGAAAGGACCTATGGAGGTCACCTAGTTCAGCGTCTTGTTTGAAAGACATTGCTGAGGTGGTATTTCCAAGGATGGGGATTTCACAACCTCTTTGTGCAAACTGCCAGACCACCCTTCTGTTTTTCTGGTGTACTTGAACAGAAAACATCATGTTCTATTTCACAAATGCTGATTCATTTGATGGTGAGACCATAAGAAAACAAGTGAGTTGATCACATGGAGTGTGAGTAAAACTCAGCCTAATGATCAGTGTTATTTGTCCTATGTCATCTTCTGAAATGGGAATATAGAAATATCTCAAATCTTTCAACTTCTCCTGATGCGTGATGTGCACAACCCCTCTAACCATCTTGGTGGCCCTTTTCTGGATTAGGTCCAGTATGTCAATGTCTTTCTTGTAGCTCTTCTAAGCACTAAGTAGAAAGAATGGAGGTTTATGGCATTTTTAAATAGAATTTTTTCTTTGTTGATTCTTCTAAGGCTAGTTACTTTTATGTTTCTGTGAGTGCAAATTAACAGTATATATTTAGTTGATGATTAATGATAAGAAATTACAATTGACATAAAATGCAAAGAAAGTAAAATTCACAATTTATGACAGGAAATGGACAAATGATACTGAATTAAGACAGCAGATTTTTCCCAGAATTTAAATCTAGGCTTGAATTTAAATCTAGGGTTAGTTGACCTTTTGTGTAACTTTTTTGAAAGAGTTATATATTGAAGAAGCTAGATTTTTATAAAATGGTAATCATTCCCATTTAAACCTGCTATTAGAGCTGCAGAAATGAGCTTTCAAAGGGTCAGGAGCCCCTTTGTCAGTCCTGACAAAAAGCAGCAAAATGTAAGCTAAATACAGTGTAGGCACATTTGCTGATAGAGTTACATGTGGAAATGAGAGTTAAAAATTGTAAATCCTGAGGAATAATGTTGATTTCCTGCATAAGCTTTGGAAAGTTGAATTCGATTTTTAGATTGGCTTCTTCATACTACTCTCAAGAAAAAAAAAAGGAGGGGTGAGGGGAGGAAAAGCCAACCAGTGTTTTCATTTTGATGATTTTTTAAATACCTTGGTCTCAATATGAAAGTAGTTTTAAAAGGCTCTGCATAAATTATTGTGTATCTGGCCCTAGCTGGTATAGCTTTTTATTTGGACTAAATGAAAAATGAAAATAAAAGCATTGACATTACAACAGTGAAACATTTCAGCCCTGTTAATACTGTTCAATGATGTGGAAAACAATCACGAAGAGGGGAAAGCTTTTCTCTACAATATTTCCATGAAAATATGTTTCCTAGCAAGAACATTTAGTACCATACCTTAAACGTTCTAGCTTGTCAGAGCTAATTCCTATTAAACAAAAGGCTTGGTTAACCCTGGCAATTTCAGAAAGACACATTTTTTTCTTATCTTATCAATCAGTTATTGAGCCTGTCATGCCCAAAGTGCCATTTGATTTTTCTGTGCTTACAACTGTCAGTATGAAGCCAGCATCCATTGCTCAGAGCTACTCAGTGGATACAAATGCAAATGCTTCAATTACATGAATTGTATATGTTTGCATACACACATGATAAGAAGCTGGAAGGTTCCTTGAATATTTTCTTATACTTATTTCTTTCTGCACTCTGTTATTATCATTACTGTATGATTTTCTTTTTCTTATTACTACCTCGAAATAAAGCTTGGGTTTTTGTTGTTTTGTTTCGGGGTTGGTTTTTTTTTTTTTTTTTTTAATGTTCTCTCTCTTCCAGGTTAATGTGGAAGGTGTCCACTGTGACAGGTGCAAGTCTGGTACATTTGGTCTCTCTGCCAGAAACCCACTTGGCTGCAGCAGTTGCTATTGCTTTGGCCTGACTACACAGTGCAGTGAGGCAAGGGGGCTGATTCGCATGTGGGTGAGTAGGAAACTGCTGAGCCATGTAATGCGATAATGTTGTTTCCTGCTGGCATCTTTTAGTCAGGCACTGAGAGGTAGCTAGAAAATGGCCAAACATTTAAGCAATCATTTTCCTCTTTATACTTTGCAAAGTGGAGGGAGCGGTATATTCCATTAGACAATCAAGGTCAAGGCATTAAAAGTAAATAAGTAGATAGGAAAACCAGTGATAGCATAGCTGACGTCAAGCCAAAGTAAAGCTATTAAAACCCAGGAAAGGGCAAGATAGTTGTGCGGGGAAATTAGACAGTCCAGTGCATTGTAACGTAATCTCTGGTATATGACACACAGTTTACCCAGGTGTATTCAAGGGTCACGGATGCTTGTTGTCCAGCATAGATTTTCCCATGGTTCAATTCAGATTTTTTTAAATTTTTTTTTAAAAAGACCTTATTGAAGCTCTGTTTAAATCGAAGAATGGGACAGTATAATCCATCAGAGCAAACAAAGAGCTCTCCACCTTTTTGTTGAAGTGGGCCTTGAGACCTATGCTAGGCTGACAAATAAGGCAGACTGGATGTCTCCGTTTATCTGCACGACAAGCGCAAAACACGCATTGTGACCACTGCTATCAGTCGCTGCTGTGCCAGCTCCTCGGTTACATTCTGGAGGAGCTATTTCTAATGGAAAATGACTAGTTCAGTCCCTGTGTATGATCAGTCATATCTCTGCTAGAAAGCATGTCAACCATAGAGGGAATGTCTGCCTAATGCAAATCAGCCAAAGCCCCTGACTTGTTTCCTTCACAAGCATCAATTGGATAAGGATGCTTTAGGCTGAAATCAAGGTGTGATCTCTTACTAAAGAGTTCGTATCTCATAGTTAAAGTAATATGAATAGCACCATATTCATTGTTCAATCCAATAGCGCCTCTTTCTCTTCTCAGTGGATGAAGTGATTTATCCTGATCTGACCCAGTTTTTCTCATTAGTTCAGTTTTGCCCATCATATGCTGGTAGGCTGGAGATGAAAGGCTGCAAAAGGCCGACAAGTTGTAAAATTTAATCAAGTTCCATGACAGCAACAGTTCTGGGAAATTGTGCTTTGACCTTTGTGGCAGCATAAGGCAGAAACATAGTTTAAATCTTCTGATTATTTTGTGTCTCTTGTTTAATTTTCTTTTGTATTTATGCTCATATCTAAGCAAGTGTATGTCCGTGTCTCATCTAGGTTTTAGTACTCTGATCTGTTTCAGAATTGATTCAGAGTTGTAAACCGAGTGAGACTGGATTCTGCCAGCTGCTAGTGGCTATTTCAGATACTCCAGTGCTTCAAATGTCATTAGACATGTTTAAACAAGCAAATCCTGTCTTATATGACAATAAGACAAGGCTGATCTGAAATTCAAATGTGTTGATGACTTTCTTGATGTCTAAAGTAGTAAACAGTAAAATACGGTTATGATAGGAACTCAGGAAATGTCACTTAGGACTGGCACTGTTCGGAATGCTTCCATTTCTGTCAGTCCATAGATGCTGCTGTAAATGGAAATACCAAGATGCTTAGAGTACACTACAGGACTTAGTTGATTCCTCGTTGCCTGATCCCTCCCTCATGAACAGCCTGTTGATGGGATGACTGTTAGATATATGACTTTGCTTTTGTTTTCTTTGTTTTCCACACTCTTTGGGAGAAAGCAATTTTGATACTAGGCCTTTGTAGTTGTTCACACACTTCCTGTGATACTTTCATCTGCACAGAATTACTAAGGCAGTAATTTTAATTATTACAGTTTTTGATCAAAATAATTATTTCTGTATCACAGAATCACAGAATGGTAGGGGTTGGAAGGGACCTCTGGAGATCATCTAGTCCAACCCCCCTGCTAGAGCAGGGTCACCCAGAGCAGGTTGCACAGGATTGCGTCTGGATGGGTTTTGAATATCTCCAGAGCAGGAGACTCCACAACCTCTCTGGGCAGCTTGTTCCAGTGCTCGGTCACCCTCAGAGTAAAGAACGTTTTCCTCATGTTCAGGTGGAACTTCCTGTGTTCCACTTTGTGCCCATTGCCCCTTGTCCTGTCACTGGGCACCACTGAAAAAAGTCTGGCCCCATCCTCTTGACACCCACCCTTTAGATATTTTTAAGTGTTGATCAGATCCCCTCTAAGTCTTCTCCAGGTTAAACAGACCCAGGTCTCTCATTAGAGAGATGTTCCAGTCCCCTCATCATCCTCGTAGCCCTCCGCTGGACTGTCTCCAGTAGTTCCCTGTCTTTCTTGAACTGGGGAGCCCAGAACTGGACACAGAACTCCAGATGTGGCCTCACCAGGGCAGAGTAGAGGAGGAAGAGAACATTCCTTGACCTGCTGGCCACACTCTTCTTAATGCACCCCAGGATACCATTGGCCTTCTTGGCCCTGAGGGCACATTGCTGTCTCATACTTAACTTGTCCATAGCTGTATAATGCTATTGAGATGCTTTCAACAAGTCTAAGAAAATTACAAGCATCTAAATGACGTCCTTATATTTTTTCATTAAATCTGAATTTAGAGTTACAGAAACCCTGAGCCCTCACTCTCTGCGTATTGCCCAGAGAACACTTAGCTTGGCTATTGCGTAAAAGTACCAAGGGATCAGGCACCGTGTTCCACAGGCCCAGTGATGTATCATAAGTGTTGGTGAGAAGTATGCTTCTTTGTAAGGTACATTTTTCACAATCCAAACAGAAGAGGCCTGAGACAGAAATAGCACTATGAATATCGCTTTGATAAAATTCATGGGATCACTTGCTGATAAAACTATTTCAACCAGTGCTAGTATGTTCTTTGTTAACATGAGGACAGGGTTCAAAAGGCTTGAGGGGGAAGTCATTATTATCACTGTTTATACCTGGAGGAGGAGTAAGACTGTTTTGTGACAAATTGCTCATGATGTGAAATGAAATTACCTAGAAATAATTTTTTAAAGAGTTAGAATTTAAAGACTAACACTTCATGGGGAAAAATAAACTTGATTTTCTTCTTGATTTTTATTAATATATATAGGTGACCTTGAAACCAGAGCAAATGATTCTGCCACTGGTGGATGAAAAACTTCAGCGCAGCACTCTTTCAGGGATTACATTTCAGCCTCCTGAAATAGTAGCAAATATAGAACAGGTGATGCAGGATCTTCGGTCAGAACCTGTTTACTGGAGACTTCCAGAGCAGTTTGAGGGACGAAAGGTAAATACAAAATTCCACTGAATATTGATATGGATTTTTTAAATGTTATATTTGTATTTTGCAATACCTTTTTTTCCTTCCAATAAACATGTGATCACACAGTGGAAGGAACTTCAAAAGAAAATATATGCCATTCCATTATTAAAAATTATTTGCTCCGTTATCGTGGAAATTACTAAGTCTGTAACATAAACACTATTTTAAAATATGTATTTACAGACAGTAACATGTAATATTTTTTCACAGGATAGATTCTCTCATAAACTGTTATTTGAAAAATTAAGCTGCATCAATTTGATATAACTCTCCCGTAACTTTTTGTTAAAGAAATAAAACTTTTTTTTTAAACAAAAAATGCCTGATCGTTGTAAGTTACACAGGAGAAAATTATTGAAATAAGCATCCTTTTGGATATTGTTATGCACCTCTGTGATGATTTATTTTGCACTTTTGGTATTTCTTGGTTTGGCTTGGGAAAGTTTAGATGTGTCTCTCTCTAAACACAAACTTTGGGGAGCACCAAGGCACATATAAAGAAACAGATAACATTTTGGTTTTAGTGTAGTACAATAACAAATTGCTGATGGGTATTTTTGAACACAGCCCTTGTCCCCAGATAGTTCCACAAGCACGTATTGCTATTTTCTACCACACACACATTCATCAGACTGCTCACAGGTGCAGCGTGTATCTAGCTCCTACATATGCCCAGGAATTTATTTTTAGCTAACTGAAAATGAGATTTCTTTTTGTACTTTGTGTTTTGCTTTGTTAGCTGACCGCTTATGGAGGGAAACTGAAATACGCAATCTACTTTGAAGCACGAGAAGAGACAGGTTTTACTACTTACTACCCCCAAGTCATCATCAGAGGTGGGCCTCCCAGCCATACAAGAATTATTGTCTGGCATATGGCTGCCCCTCTGATTGGGCAGCTGACAAGGCATGAGATAGAGATGACAGAGGTAATGTTTCCATCTGCTTTTTTCCCCAGAACTTAAGCACCTGGTTCTTTTCAATGCTGTTAATAACCTGGTTTTGTATTACTGTTTTTCAGCATAAATGGGAATATTATGGTGATGACCAAAGAGTCAGAAACACTGTGCCCTGGGAATATTATCATGATGTCCCAGGTGTCAACAGGACGGTGTCCCAGGCAGATTTCACATGGAAGCATTATGGAGATGACTCAAGACCGAGTAGATCTGTATCTCGGGAAGACTTCCTGAATGTGTTGTATGATGTTCATTACATTCTTATTAAGGCTACTCATGGCAATATCATGAGACAGAGCAGGTAACTATTTCATGCGGTGGTCCGAAATGGTGCAGTGGTCACAGATAACCTGATAGAGCTTCCCAGCAGTATTTGTATTCATAGCATAAGCTATAAGCAGTTTCTGAGAAGAACAGGAGGAGTTAGCGTTCAGCATAGCAGAAGATGCAGGAGAGAGAAATTTTGTTCAATAGAAAATTTAAATCACAATAGGGAAATGAAACTCTCATTTTCAGGATCCTAGAAGAGAAAACACATGTAAGTGCATGCATCCTGAAACAAACCCAAAGTATTTCTTGAATTAATGTTTACTTTATGAAAACATGATGCTGTAATTAAATATAAATGTTAGTATATGAAGGAATTTTCTCTTGCAAGTGGGAAATGAAGTAACAAGTCAAAGATGAAAGAGTACTCCTTTAATGAAATGCTACTTAATCAAATATATTAGGGGCAGATATATTCAACATTTTCTGTTCAGTTTATTCATTAAGAAGTTAGATGATGAAATAAAGATAATGCTTACTAAATTTGAAGTGGACATCAGAGAGCAGGATGAGAGGAATAATACAAAAATCTGCTGCAATCTAAAGGTCAACTATAAGATTTTACACTTTGAAGGAACAGTTGATTGAGCAAAGAATGTACAACTGCTTAGTTACCTATTCTTCAAAGAGAGGTCTGTTGTTTACAACATATCACCAGGTGATTCAGTAATGATATTCTTGTTCAAAAATGCTAATATTTTAGTTGCATGTATAAACAGGTATGGCCTGAAAAGTGCCAAAAATTAATCTTTTACTTCCACCCAACACTAGTAAAGCCTAAGCATCGAGTTTTGGATACTGGAATTCAAGAAAAAAATACTAAAGTGTTCAGAAAGTAACAGTGAATGTCATCACAGGTCAGAAAATATGACCTGTGAGAGAAGATGTAAAGAACCACATTTATTTAGAAATTAGAAAGTGCCTTAAGATCCATAAAATGTTGTCACAAAGAGAAAGAAAAGAATCCATTCCCTGTTTCCATAGTGGGTAAGTCAAAAAAGAACTGAGCTTAAACTTCAGCAGGGAAGATTCACATTAGACATGAGAGAAAAATTCCTGGGGGGTAAAGAAGTTGTGGAATAGATTACATAGACTATTCCTAAAAATTTTTGATAACGAATTCACATTGTGTGAGCAAAATTTATTAGCAAGAATACAGGAATAACTGGAGGTTAACTCCAAAGGTCTCCAGAGGTCCTTTCAATGACTGTCATAGAAGTGATAGGCTAAAATTATTTCTAGATTTCTAGGTCACAAACAGGTCTGTAAGAACATGACCTTTGGAGTTTGAGGGTGAATAGTAGGGGCAGATACAATGCAACGTTGCAGCACTGTGTGACAGAAAACACAGTCATTGCTGCTATTGTCTCTATTTAAAGTATGTCACTTACAGAAAAGTATTCATCCAGCTTGCACTGGCTAGATGCTAAATATTAACAATAGATGCCATAAATGTTTTACATTGGTTTAATTTATTTTTGGCATGGTCAATTTAGGATATTGTATTACAAGCACAGGGAATTCCCATGGAAAGAGATAAGAAAGTAACTCTAGTGCAACATGGAAAATTTGAGAACCATATCCGTGTTTTGTGTCTGTTTCTCCCTTTCCCTTTATGCACTACAGATCCTAGTTCAGCCGTGGAAGCAAAAACTGAATACTATCTCAGCTCAAGCAACATAAGTTATGAAACGGAACCTCCATTTTCAAGCTTTTGTTCTGACTGTCGTGACTGAACTAGACCTGCATTGTAATACACCACCATTTTATCAAGGCTGCCTAGGAATGAGACATATAACAGAGCAGAGGAGGCCGTTTCCATTTCAGGGCAGGTTTGCAAGGTGGCACTTAAAGAACCAAAATGTATTTTTACAGCATCACATTTCAGAATGTGACATTTTATATGACAGCAGGACTTAGCAAAGAGTTCATCTGTTCTTTCTGGTAACTCTCCATCTGAAGTCATAACCTTGCATATGATACCATTTTTGATTTTGGAAGTGGTTATGTTACAATAGATTTTTATGATCTGTCTAGTTACATAGGTAACATTCATCACATGGCATCTGAGACTTTAAGTAGAAAATAAACAGCAGGAATCAAGTTAGCACTTTGAATTATTTCAGAGGAAGTTTTGCTTAAGACCACAAAATAAATCCCCCAAAATGTTTTTAAAGGTTATTGGAATATTAGCTTCTGTAAAAATTGAAGTCTTTTATTAAAAATACTTTGAGAGCCTTTAAAGGACAATATTTATGCTCAAGTTTAAACATATGTTTGCATTAAGTGACTTATAATAAAGCATTTGTTTAAATAGAGTATGTTGCGCTGTCCAAGTAAGGGTCATGTTCTAAACTAATAAAGCTGCTTTTTCTATCTGACTGTGCATTGTAGATAAGTATAAAGCAAAAGAAACTGTGGATAGGAGGAGGAAAATATTATATATGAAGTCTTTTTAATTTTTTTAAGGTTTTTAATAATGCCTTAATTTCAATTGCAGAGTTTAAAAGCTTCAGATAAGTGATAAACTACAGGAAAAGAATTTTAGAATAAAGTCAAAGCAGTGGCAGCAGTTGGAAGCATAAAAATAGCCTAATTCTAGCATTAGCGCTGTGTTAGATACATAGTTTAGCAGCAATGCTCATGTTGTTTCTGCTTCGAAGCTGCAGCATTACTAGTGATACAGAGATTTCTGCTCAGAATCCAAAGCCAAACATTTTCCTCCTATATTGTTCATTTTGTTGCCCTCATTTTCACATTCACCGCTCTAAATTGAAACATTTCTTTTATTAGATTTTGTTTTGCTTTTCAGGGAACTGGGCTGTGATAATAAATTAGTTTGAATTGGAAGTATGCTTTCAATTGGACTGTGAATTATTTCAATATCCCTGACACTGATCAGGTAGCAGTTGTTGGACTGCTGCCTATTAGACATGTTCCAAGAATCAGCCAAGCCTGACCTTCCTTAAGTAACATTTTCACACAAACAACAGGTAGCTTTGTGGTCCCAGAGTACATTATTATGTAAATACAGTGTTCTGACAGTAAATAGGTTTTTGCGCACACAGACCATTGCCTCAGCCTTGAAGGGGATGGGGAGGCGGATTTCGTTTTTCCATGAAATGTGCAGAGATTTCAGTGTAAGCTTACATTGACATATCACATCTGAATGGTTTTGTTCTCTTTATTTTCAGTCTTCTGTTCTGACCTGGCTTTGTTTGCTTGGGGTTTTTTGTCCAGTTTCCATGCTCCACCAAACCCCTTTCTTCGGGTAGTAAGCAGGGAGCACAGGGTTTAAGTTATGATTTGGGGATTTTGCATTGACACAAGGTATCAAGAGGTAAGGGTCTGGGCATCTCAGCTCAATCACCAAACTCTCATCTTGTTCAGCGGTGGGCATTTGCTTTTCCTACAGTCATCCTGACATTGGTGCCTGTATGCCGATGCGCAGGAGAGTGTCACTCAGTTACTCAGTCATCAAGGTGCGGGAGTAGATGAACGGACTATGAGCATGAGGTGGAGCTGAGCAGTTCTGTGAGCTCCTCTGCATTAGCCTTGTGCACGGACACTTAATAGATGGACTCTAGCAGCATTATCGACATTTATTCAGCTAGTTGGTCACACGTTCTTTGACATTTTCTTTTCAGTTGGCAATATATTTGAAGCTTTAAAATTTGCACTATTCCTCCCATTTTGTTTCTCAAAGACACTAATCGTTCCAGACCACAGCATTCATTGAAACAAACTAACAAACCCCCAAAATAAAGTAGTAAGCTAAAAGAACAGCAATGCGGTACATTAGGATTAAGCGTATTGCATTAGATACTGTGTTTGTTGTCTTTGTCCGTGATGTACTCAACCCTATTTGGCAGGTCAGTATGCAGGCTAGAAGGACAGGGAGTGGTTGAGAGGCAAGGATATTGTTATTGATACAATCAAACAAATGTTTGGAAAGTTAAAATGTCAGAAACTCTACTATGAAACATATCCCTTTCTGATATTAGCAGATGCTTCCGTAGCAGGATTTCTTGTTTGCTTTAAATTTATTTATGTGTCCAAATGATCTTAACAATGAAAAAATAATAATAATAATAAAAAAAGGATATCTGTCTATAGAACTTAAAATTCCTGCTAAAAAGGCAAATGCCCAATGTCTTTGAAGTCTGCTCTAGAGCTTCTTAGGTTGCTTTAGTTGCTCAGGATAGATTTGATTTTATTTTTTTAAATAGTTGCCTCATTAAAAGCTCATTTAGTGAACAATTTTATTGCTGTACCTCTGAGAATCATGACTTGGAACTGCATTTAGTATGTGATTTTATTGTCTTAATGAGTTCCTCCAAATGAAGAATCAGATATGAGCTTTTCTTAACAGTTTGGCTGAAAAGAGATTAAAAAAAGAGATAGAATCAAGCAGGAGAGAAAAGTTATAGTATTGCCTAGAAATGGAAAATGAGACTGGAGGTGGTGGTAGCTTTGTTGTTTCCTTACGAGAGGCAAAAATAGTGCTGTTTGTCTCCTGTGGATGAAGAAGCCTACAAACAACCAAATAAGACCCATCTTCTCCCATGCCAGCTGCCCATGAACTAACTGGGTTTGAGTTAGTGCTTGACTAATCTCATTAGAGACATTTGCTCCTTTTTTTTCCAGGATTTCTGAGATCTCAATGGAAGTTGCTGAAGGCGGCAATGTGTCTGGAATGACTCCTCAGGCTCACTTCATTGAGAAATGTGACTGCCCATTGGGTTATTCTGGCTTGTCTTGTGAGGTACAGTGCTAACCTGATTTCCAGTGAAAGTCTTTATACCGTCTTTGGTCCATTCATTAGTAAGGTGTGATAAATAGAGTGTGAATTCATTTAACTGGCAACAACTCTCCCTTAATTTAATTACTTATATTCTTTCTTTCTCAGGTATTGCTCTCACAAGGAATTTAAGTACTTTTTTTTTTTTTTTTTTTTAGCTTTGGGCAAATATGCCACTGAAACCATGGTGATGACTCAAATACTTAGAATACAGGAAAGTGAGCTTTACTGGGTCAGCATCTCTGAGGCTGAATTGTGTGACTGTTGCTGACTGATCAAGCCTTTTTGGACAGAGAAGGGTGTAATACTAATGTATTGTACTGTGTACAACAGATTGTACTATATCACCATGTTATGGTGAGGCCGTAATACACAATACAGTTACAATATCATATCTTCCAAAAGGCCGAACTACATGGATCATTTTATCATGACCATGATTCACAGAATCTGTGGAATAAAATGCAGGAAATCTCGATGTCAAATTAAAAAAAAACAACCCACAAACGATTCTATAAATTATTGATAGTTGTAAGTAAACTAAAAATTAACATTTGTAATAGTGAATAATTAAGGATTACATACTACTTATTCCTGAAAAGTTAAAGATCTGTCAGCTGAATGAAATTCATCAAATAAAGCATAAAAACAAATTTGAAAACAAAAAAAGTTAAAAGAATCTAATAACATAATTGTAGCACCAAGCACCCTAAACAGAGCCATGCAGAATTTTAAAATTCTATTCTGTAAAGGCTGTCCAGATTTTTAAGTTCATCTTGTTTGACATTTAAATTCCCATATAAAGTTTGAATAGCTGTATGATTGATTGAAATAATTTGCTTTGAAAAAAAGCTAAACAGCATTTCAATTTTGATTTCTTCAATGTTTGCATTGAATAACTCAGATAACAACAATTAAAAGAGACGTAATTTGAAAAACAAAACTTGAAATAGTGCATTCTGAACACAGTTGGTCAAAAAGGCAGTTGATAGTTGAGAACCTGCAGACTCCTCACATTGATCTTTCCTCTTCAAACTGTTCCAATAGCATGCCTTTGTGGACCAGCACTAATAGGATGAATATTGCCCATTTTGCTTTTATTTTGCATGCTTGACTACCCAAATTAGCACTGCAAATGCATTTAAAATGTGGATGAGAACCATTCTGTAGCATGTCTGCGCTTCATTAAAGCAGCTTCATGGAACATGTTTTCAAAGCTTTAGGAAATGTCTACTGCGCATGTACAAACTGTCAGTATTCTGAATGCTTATAATTTATCCAAGTGGATCTATGAAAAGGGCTGCTGAATTCTGGCAGATATCTTTCCCTTTTACTCCCCCATAATTATTCTTCTTCCAGTGCTGGTACAGGACTCCCATAAGAAGATCTTGCTCAGCCCATACACAAAAGCTTGCCTCCTATCAAAATTCAGTACCCCTTACATAAGTGATGGAGCTGATTGTAAAGAGAAGCAGAAATTCTGGAACGTGGTCCAAATAGTATATCTTGCTTTATTCTCAGAAGCAGCCGAATCACTGGCTCTTCAAATAAAATAAACCAGATCTGATACTAATGGAAACTTTTGTCCTGAACCATTGAAGTTTGGTAAATATCTAACTCCTTGAACACTGGGAGAAAAGTGTTGGTCAACTAAGTGAGCTTGGTGCTCCTTATACGCATACTATATTTATTTGCTTATCTAAATATTTTCACGCTGAAGATTGCATGTTTCAAAAGTGTCCAAGTTTTATAGAAAGCTAGCTGACTTGTATGCTTTTGTAAAATGTATCTTATGATAAGTACCAGAGAAGTGGTACTTTGGCTGCAGAGTAGAAGTTAATATTTTTGACTGTATGTGTTTTTGATGATGAGACTGGCAGTCTTTCTGTGTGCAAACCACCATATTTTTGGTTTTAAGCAGCACCAGCAATCCCAAATGCCTTTGTTGCAATTGCTAGTTGGACAAGTGTTCTGTAAATCCCTCAGACATCCTGACTGAGTGGGTTCTTGTAAAACGTTCCCCAAAGCTAGTGGTGGGAGAACATTTGGAGTGAGTAAATGAAGGGAAAGACACCTTGTTATCTGGGAGAACTCTGCCTCCCTCAGATGTTGTACAGGATTGGGTTACGCAGCAAATGAGGCAACAGGAACAGTGAGTTCAAAGGCAGTGTGTGCAAGGAGGTGAATGAAGGCATTTTCTTTGCACAATATTTCAGTAAGAGCATACACCTGAATGTGTGTAAATACACATATGAGAAATTAATGGGCTCCGGCAGTTGCTCAGTAAAATTACTGTAACAAATTGCATTTTCGAAGGAAAATACATGATAATGTAATTAGAACTTTATTTTAATTCACACCCACCAGGGGCTGGAATAAATGTCTCACTTGCAACCTTCATACTTCGTGCTTAATTGTGCAATCTTCACATGCTCATAACTTAGTTTATTTTTAGTGTGCTCAGTGACGGTTATGGTGTGTTCTGTGAAGGTTTATTTAATTTCAGCAGGAAAAAAAAGCAGGAGAAAGAAGTATCTGATACCCAGGCATTTTTTAAGCAAATGCTAACAGGATATATGTATCTATATCATGATTTATCCTGTAATTGCATTGTGAGGACTATGCGTACAGCAGTTTTTACTAGAAGTGACTTTTATATCCTTTTTTTTTTTCTTTTTCTTTTTTAATCCAGCACTAGGCTGAAAAAGCAGTGGTAAGAGTTTCCCTAATGGCTACTTCTGAAAAACTTCTGAACTAGTAATAAAAATGTAGTCTGCTTCATCTTTTGTCTGTGTCCCATTTCATCTCAGAAATGCTTAGATCAAAATAGATGAGAAGAATGTCAATAGCATATTATAAAAAACAGGTAGACACTTGATTTGTTTGAGGAGGTACCATATATTTATACCCCGATCCTAAAGTTACTCAGAATTTGTAAAGCTGTACTTTGTACCACTTTATGTTTGGACAAGGACTCTTCTGGGGATGGAGAGGGAGGAAAAAATTAGTAAATTCTAGTAAGGGAAAAAAAATTACTTTTGTTTGAGATTATTTATCTAAATTGGAATTTTTCACAAACCATGAAAAAGCTGATAGACTGTTTCTATGCTTCAGGGATCTTAATGTAGTCTAAGTCAAAATAAAAGGGGAAAAGCAGAAATGAGTTAGATTACTTTCTTTGTGATTCTAAAGAAAATAATTGTGTTTATGCTTTTTCCATAACTTAGACTCCTGGAGTTTTTGGCAATGATTATAAAACTGCCAGAGTGGTGTCGTATGAATAGAATCTAGCATGTCAGCTGGTGCTTGACTGAAGAATCCTGCTTTTTATCGCAAAAAGTTACTCACTCCAGATTCTCTTTTGTTTTATTTTGCATCCATTTTATTGCTATGTGAAAAGCGTGCTATTCACATTCTTTCCAAAAAGCAGAAGTTGAGGTCAGCATTAGGAATGACCTCATCAGGCAGCCTTCATAGGCTCCTGGCACCACTAGGTGGTGGGATTTATATGTGGGAGGAGTAACATTTCTGTACGCACTTACCCCTAATGGTCTGAACTAGCAAAAAAAAAATGGTCTGTTTGTGTTTTTATGCTGCCATAGCTGTGTGCTTTCTGGGACCTATGTAGACACTTTCATATATTTGCATAATAAGCCTGAAATAAAAATCGAGTCCTTGATTTTGCATGTGTCAGCTTTGCTGGTAATTTTTGGGTTGCTCTCAGAATTTTATTGCCAAGCTGGGGCAGGGGAGACTTAGTGATAGATAAATTTGATTTGGGTCCCAAGACATGTAAAACCTTTAATATTTTCAATTCTTTACTTTTATAGTCTTTAAATTATATATCTATAAATAATGCAGCCATGCAGCCAGTTTTTTGATTATTATCATTCGGCTTTTGCTTATTATCCATCAGGCAGTATGTAGGCAAATATTAGCTTGTCAAACCTGAAAAACTCACCACGGGAGAAGGAAACAGAATCATCATGCTTGCTCTCCACAGTCCATGCAAAAAATTTATTTTGAAAACAAACCTTATTCTTAAGAAATGAAAGGAATGATGCTTGATGCACAGTGAGAACAGTGAGGTGTTCTGCATCTGAATGAAAGGTCTCTCAAGCTGTAATAAGAAAAGCCTGGTGCCAGTGGAGTGCTCCAGGGATTTTTCAGCAATGTTTCCAATTAGGGCTGGCTCTTGTTATCTGTAAAGTACTGTATATTGTTTGTAACACAGCTGGAAGCCTGTCAGGTGCTTTTCACAACTTGTAAAATCCGGTGATTGGAAAGATGAGCTTGCAATGCTCCCCATACCTAGTCCACTCTGTAATGATCTGTTTTCTTCTGCATCTTGTTTTACTGCAGTCATGCTCTCCAGGATTTTATAGGCTTCCACCTTCACCTGTGGGAAGGACACCTGCTCAGTCCTTAGGCACCTGTGTTCCATGTCAGTGTCATGGACACAGTACTATGTGTGACCCTGAAACATCAATTTGTCAGGTATTATGTTTCTGAACTTATGGACTAGGTTAATCTTAATGTAAAATTCCTAAGTTGTGTAACTGATCTAAAAAAATAGAGGACGATATTTTAATCCAATTTTGCTTAAATAGCTTAAGTGTCAAAGTTAAAGGGGGGTCAAAAGAAGCAAACCATCTACCTTTAAAGTTTTCCATTCTGATTTTCTAGAGTTCAGATTATGCAGTGTTTTAGTGACACTGAATTACTATTTGTGTAAAAAGAAAAACTAAATGTCTGCAAACTAAAGAGGCAATGTACCATGTGTCATGCAATAAACACAACACTGTTCTTATAGGTAATAATATGACCTGATACAGTAAGACTGAATTTTAATTGATTATTTCTCCTGCTTGAACAGCTGGAACAAAAGAGGGCAGGAAGGATGAATGGGATAAGAAATTCTGTAGGATACATCTGGCTAGCTACAGGCCTCCACTCTCTCTCCTTGTAAACCCATATATAACTCAGCAGACATTTGATATATGCTTAATGCAAGCAATCCCACTGCGAATCACATCAGGGAGAGAGAAATTATGAATCAAAATGAAGCTGGGAACAAAATGTTGTCTGCTTTCTTGTAATTATCAAATACAGCTTTCATTCTGTCTCCTTCCTCTGCAGAATTGTCAGCACAATACTGCTGGTCACCACTGTGAGAGATGCGCGCTGGGATTTTATGGCATTGTCCAAGGCTCTCCAGATGACTGTCAACCTTGTGCTTGTCCCCTATCCATTTCTAGTAACAAGTAAGTAAGCAAACTCATGATGCAAAATTACCTTTCCAGCAACCAAGAACTTTGGTTTGGGCTCTCTATGTCCTTTTTCAGATGGCTACAGGACAATTGCATCATGTAAGCCATACTAAAAAGTTTTGTATTTGCTTTTGCTAATTGATCTTCCTTCAAAAGTCGGAAATTGCTCCCTTGCCAATTTGTGTGAATAAATTAATAAGTGCTAGAAAATGCAATACTCAACAGATGAGGAATGTGTGTTATAAAGGTATTCTCACAAATGAAACTAGAGAAGAACTCAAGTACAATATAGCCACAAGGGAGCTGTAAAAAGTCTTGTGCTCATATATTATGTTGGTATAAATGTGTTACAGTGCCTTTCTTGCTCCACTGTGGAATTTATTGATTCCTTATTTAACGTTACATGAGTTTTAGGCAATTTGTGAAAGATAGAATAATTTAAAAGCAATATAGTTATTGCAGCATAAATTTTATTGGTTGCTTTATGCTAATGAGCCTTGCCACGATGTCTCTGCATGTGTTCCCAACAGATGATACTTTAGCACTTGAGATTTGTTTGTTGTTTTGCTGAAAAGCTCTTAATGATATTTGGAATCACACAGTAGTACCACTCCGAAAAGGTTTGCATTTTGTGATCATTCTCCTGAAAGGTTGGAAGTGTTCCTTAAAATGATTTTTCTGTGCTTCGTCTGACCTTTAGGATGTTTTAGTGAGCATTTCAGCCGGTATATCTGAGAGGTGGGGTTTTTTTCTTTTTCTTCTTCTTCTTGCTTCTTGCTTCTTCATTTTATCATTTGGGGTGGTCTGAGGTTTATTTTGAAGGAGGGAATCCCTTTTTCAAACATCAGTAGCTAAACACATCATGGTCTTTCATCCACAGCAAGTGTTTTTATGAAGACTTCTAAGCCTCATAAATATCAAACTGAGAACAAGCAAAACTATTATAAAAGGGGCTTAAAGAAATACCTCGTATCCCAGAAAGTTATAATGTGGTCTTAACTCCAAGTTTTTTCAAGTTGTACCCTTTTTCATTAATGTTTTCTGTTACAACTTGGTGATGTGTTCTACGCACTAGTATCAAGAAAGGACATTCAAGTTGCAAAGAACAAGATCGACCAAGCTTCTCAACTTTGTACATCAGCAAATATACTGGAAAAAAGCTTTTTCTGTGACTAACATGCAGC